CCCTTTTTCCGGCGGCGGACGAATTGGAGAACACTCCATACACCGTCCACTTCGGGCCATGTAAACGGCCTCTTTGTACCCCCCTGTTGCCATCAAATCCCTGGCACATGCTCACGAGCCCACAGGACAGTAGAGGGGACATTGCTACGGATGTGGGTGGTAATGGTGTCACTCCTTTAAATCTCGGACGCCCCGCCTGCTCCCACCCCGCCCCGACTTTGACTGTAGAAAGCCCCACCCACTTGTCTGAAACTGGAGCCTATTGGCTCCCTCTGGAAAAGCCTGTGGGCGGAGTTGGGGTGGGTGGCGGTGAGGGAAGATAGAAGTGCTGTCTGACCCTGCTGGACTCCTTCGCGAGCTTCGGGGACTAGAACGCGCAGGCGCAAATGCACAGCGCGGACCCCCACGGTAACCACGCCCCTCCCCCAAGCCTTAAAGGGCCAGAAGCAGTTCCTACAGCTCCAGCCCTTCAGCGCTTTGGGGAGGCGGGGGTGCGCAAGCGCCTTGGGGGAGCGCTGGGGTGGGGGTAGCGGTCGTGTATCAAGTTGCTCTCTGTCCCGACAGAAGAAGCCAGGGCGCTGAGGGTCCAGGCTCCAGCTTGTTCCCTGCTACATCAACTGGAGGAGAAAAGTTTGTGAATTGGGCCCCCAAGTTTTGGGGGACCCGGGCTTGCGGCGTGGGGTGACAGAGGAGGCTCGTTGGAGGTGAGTGAAGCTCCTGCATTGGTCTGGATGGGCGGTGGGATGGGACCAATTACATCTTTGTTGAGCCCTCAGTCATTCCGGGGAATACTCTCCAAAAAATAGCCACAGCGAATGTTTATTAAACTCTGCTAGTGCATCAGGCCCCCCTGCTCAGCTATTTACAGACATGACTTCTTTTAGACCTCATTTCCCCATTTTATTAATGAAGAAACTGAGGTACAGAGAAGTTAAGCCATATGCCCAAGTTCTCACAGCCTGTAAGTGAAAGGATTCGAACCTAGAGAGCTGACTCCAGAGCCAGAGCTTTTAAGCAATGTCTGGTGTGCATGGTGGAGAGGAGTGGGCCTGAAAAGCAGTTGGACTCTTGTTTAGTTTCCCTGCTGAGCCCGAGTTTACCCACCCTCACTGTGCAAGGCTAGGTATGCAGTTGTTGATAATTATTGTCATTTCTCCCCTTTTGGCACTTCCACCAGCTTCCCCCATGGAGCCTATCCAGCCTGCAGAGGAACTCAGCTTGACCCAGCAGTCCCCCACCCCAGAATTTGGGGACCCTGAAGACCCAGGGGATGAGACCCTTGATGGCTCAGACACGGTGGTGCTCAGCCTCTTCCCCTGCACCCCGGAGCCCGGGAATCCTGAGCCAGATGCTGGCGCCTCCTCACCTCAGGGTAGGTACTTTCCCTGGGCTTCGCCTCTGGGGTACAAGGACAGTGGCATGCCAGGCCCAAGATGAGGCCTCTGCCTTTGTTTCCTACCACCTAAATGTGTCTCCTGCTCCACTCAGGGAGGGATTGCTTATTTGTTTTTATTGTGGCAAAATCCACATAACATGAAAGTTACCATTTTAACCAGAATCGTGTATAATCCAGTGGCAGTAAGAACATTCAGTGTTGTGTAACCCCAACCTCTATCTGTACTTCTGGAACATTTCCATCATCCAAAAAGGAAACCCCACCCAGGCCACTTCTCAGGGACCTGGGGCGCAATTTCCACATGAGTGAGCATCAGGACCCCAAAGCCTCTTAGGAGAGGGCCTCACCTCATACCTTATTTAACATCTCTGGTGACAAGAAGGGCCCAGGCCCACTCAGGGTACTCCAAGAGTTGCCTTTTCTGAGGAGCAACAGGATCCCCAAATTCTTCAAGTTTTCAGACGACTTGTTTGGGCCTATGAGGATGTCCCCAGACCAGCCAGTAGGTCTTGCAACTTCCAGCTTCTCAGGGCTCAGCTGAGGGCGCATCAGTGGAGAGTGGATGGGGGAGTCACATAGTGCCTTTGGTAGCTCCAAATCTCCAGGGTCTGGCTTGAAGGCCCAGAAACATATACCAAGGGGAAATGAAGGCCCTTCCTTTCTCTCCCAGCAGGCAGCTCCCTGAAGCACTCCACAACACTCACCAACCGGCAGCGGGGGAATGAAGTCTCGGCCCTGCCAGCCACCCTGGACTGTGAGTGGCCCCCATCCCCAAGTGGGGGAAGGGTAGCAGGGTGGCAGGGCTGAGATGAGCAACTTGGGATGGGGTAAACTGAGGCACCGAGCAGAGATGAGATGGTTGAGAACTCTACTTCTTTCTGGCCCCAGCCCTGTCCATCCACCAGCTTGCGGCCCAGGGGGAACTGAGCCAGCTGAAGGAGCATCTGAGGAAAGGTGTGCCCATACCCATGCACTGGTATATCTGTGCCTATCTAACCTCATGTGCTAGTGTGTCCATATGGGTACTGACGTGACCTGTGTCCACATGTGTCCCTCTCTACACATGTGTACAAGCATGGTCATGGATGTACATATACTTGTGCTTCCCCCACCCTACCTTCATCTGACCCCAGACGACTGTCCCTTCCCCACTCCCTCAGCATGGCGGGGAGTGGGCAGGGGTGCAGTCCAGTGCTATCACACCCTCCTGCCAGGTGACAACCTCATCAACAAGCCAGATGAGCGCGGCTTCACCCCCCTCATCTGGGCCTCGGCCTTTGGAGAGATCGAGACCGTCCGCTTCTTGCTCGAGTGGGTGCGTCCCGGCCCAGTTGGGGGCTTCTCGGGACTTGAGGGTGGGTTGGGGTCCTGGCTGAGTCTGCTGGTGCTGTGTGTAATACTGGACTGCCATGGGGACCCCAGGATTCCAGGGGGTGCTCTCACCCCTCATCACCGCTCCTTCTACTTCCCCCAGGGTGCTGACCCCCATATCCTGGCCAAGGAGCGGGAGAGCGCCCTGTCACTAGCCAGCACAGGCGGCTACACGGACATTGTGGGGCTGCTGCTCGAGCGCGACGTAGACATCAACATCTATGACTGGGTGAGGCACCACCAGCTGGCCCTGAGCGCCTTGCAGGGTACCAGGCCTGCTCTGGCTGCTGAGAACACAAGATCCCAAGCCTCATAGAACTCCCAGTTTTGGGTTAGGGAGTGAGGAGCCAACACACAGTCAGCTGAGACAGTGAATAACACTGTGGTGGCAAGTGCACAGGCAGCTGGAAGAGCTGAGGCAGCCTGCACAGCCAAGGGAGGTCAGGGAGGGCTTCCTGGAAGGAGTGGCCCCTAAGCTGTAACCCAAAGGCCAGGTGACAAGCAGGAGAAGGAACCACATTAAATTGGAGGATGCAGGGTGGTATGAGAATCCAGAAGATAGTGCTAGTTGTCCCTGCCTCTGCCCCTGACAGAATGGAGGGACACCACTGCTGTACGCTGTGCGCGGGAACCACGTGAAGTGCGTGGAGGCCTTGCTGGGTGAGTGGGAGTAGAAGCTGCCCCTGGGGGCCCCAAAGCCCTAGCTGGTGCTGCAGGAATCCTGAGGGCCAGAGAGGGATCAGAACTCTACTTGAACAAATCTTGGGAAGGGTGGTAACTGCCAGCTTTTCCCAGAGGGTTGATCAGGGGGCAGGAGGTGGTGGGACAGCACAGAGGTCTGGCTTCAGGGATCCTGGAGGTGGGGGTTCTCTTGGCCACATTCTCAGGAGAGCTCAGGCTCTATCCAAGGCCACATAGGCAACCAGCAGACCTGGGGTTGCATCACTGGGGGTCACTGGACTTCCCAAGTCCTGTGCCCCATTCTGGGCTCCCAGCCGTCAGGGCCAGCACCCCCTACAGCACCTGCTATGCTTCGCAGCCCGAGGAGCTGATCTCACCACTGAGGCTGACTCCGGCTACACCCCAATGGACCTCGCCGTGGCTCTGGGATACCGGAAAGGTCAGCCTCAGACGCATGGGGTAGACAGTGCTGTAGGCGGGGTGACCACAGAGGGTACATGGAACATCCCACTTAGATGTCAGATTCCGGCAGCAAGAGTGTTCACATTAGCAAACATTGAGTGCCACTGTATATCTAGCCAGGGCACGTGCTAGGCCTGACTCTCGGAGGCTCCAGGTGTACTGAGGGTGGGTATGTCAGTGACTGGGGCCGCTCAGGAACTGAGAGGCCCAAAAGAGGCCCTGGCCCACATCAGGATGGATGGGAGTCAGGGAGGGCTTCCTAGGGACCCAAGGAGAGGGAGGATGGTCCAGGCTGGAGGAACAGCACATGCAGAGACTTGGCAGGCTGAGAATGCCCAGAGGGAGGGAGCCAGGTCACAGTGCAGAGAGCCATGAAGGCCACCCTCTCTGAGGCAGGAGGTGGGCATGAGCAGAGGCTGTAGGCAGACCTGTTTGACTCCCCACTTCCCCACCCATAAAACTGATAGATCCTAACAAAACCAACCACCTGGGGTCAATGGGGGGTATTGAGGGCTTGGGAAATATCCCCTCCTTGTTTCAAGGAGTGTTACTGTATCATGGGACAGAAAAGTCAATCCTCATGGCCCCTCTTGTCCTTTCATAAACATCACAATTCGCCAATTTTGTTTGGTAAGGAATATTTTCGTGAGGCCAAAGTCTCCAAAAATGCATTTTTACAAACTTAGGGGAAATTGAGGTTCCTGGGATGGGGGCCTCAGTCTTCCCAACTGTGGCCTGAGAGGGGCGTGGATTTCCCTGTGTATGAAGTGGATCCTCGATCCAGGTACCAGGGTGGGGAGGTCCCTGTTCATCCCCCAAGGGGAGGGTGCAGTCCTCNCTTCTAACTCATTAACTACAAATATGTATTAAATAACAAACAACTTCATGATTGATTTAAAAATAGTTTGTGGCATTTTGTAATAACTGTGATTTACAAATATTTGCTAAGCCAATGTAAACACACACAGATGCGTAAATCTATAAGGCAACAATACACACGATTGCCACGCCCCAAGCTTCTTCCAAAGCATTAGGTCACTGAATTCTCACAACAACCCTAAGGGGGAAGAGAAAGAGACTATTATACTCCCCCATTTTACAGAATTAAAAAACCAAGGCACAGGGACTTTCTAAAGGTTTCAAGGCTAGTTAGCAGCCCAGCCAGGATTCGATGGAAATTAAATTTCTGCCCCTCACGTGGACCCCGTCTTTATCCCCTCCTGTCCTCTGTCAGGTCGCCCCTTCTTGAGTTCCTGGGCCCTCCACCCAGTCCGGGACCCCGCATTACCTTTCTTCCCCTTGAGTTGCATCTCCGGTTCCTCCATAGCTACAACGGCTCGCCGAACCCGAGAACCGGAACGGGAAGTCTGGAGGTGAGTACGGCTGCCTAACCCTTCCCCGCGAAACCCGACGCGTCCCTTCTCCAGTTCTGATACAAATTGGCTCGGCCTCCTAGCTTCTCTGTCTACCCAGACAGGAGGCGGGCCATGAGTGGGAAACTAGGGAAGGAGGAACACCGGGAGGCGGGTGAGGAGGGGACGGGGAACCCTGAAGCTCCAGGAGGGTCACGGAGGCGTGAGGGGCAATGGCGCCCTCCCTTCCGGAACCCTTTTTCCGGCGGCGGACGAATTGGAGAACACTCCATACACCGTCCACTTCGGGCCATGTAAACGGCCTCTTTGTACCCCCCTGTTGCCATCAAATCCCTGGCACATGCTCACGAGCCCACAGGACAGTAGAGGGGACATTGCTACGGATGTGGGTGGTAATGGTGTCACTCCTTTAAATCTCGGACGCCCCGCCTGCTCCCACCCCGCCCCGACTTTGACTGTAGAAAGCCCCACCCACTTGTCTGAAACTGGAGCCTATTGGCTCCCTCTGGAAAAGCCTGTGGGCGGAGTTGGGGTGGGTGGCGGTGAGGGAAGATAGAAGTGCTGTCTGACCCTGCTGGACTCCTTCGCGAGCTTCGGGGACTAGAACGCGCAGGCGCAAATGCACAGCGCGGACCCCCACGGTAACCACGCCCCTCCCCCAAGCCTTAAAGGGCCAGAAGCAGTTCCTACAGCTCCAGCCCTTCAGCGCTTTGGGGAGGCGGGGGTGCGCAAGCGCCTTGGGGGAGCGCTGGGGTGGGGGTAGCGGTCGTGTATCAAGTTGCTCTCTGTCCCGACAGAAGAAGCCAGGGCGCTGAGGGTCCAGGCTCCAGCTTGTTCCCTGCTACATCAACTGGAGGAGAAAAGTTTGTGAATTGGGCCCCCAAGTTTTGGGGGACCCGGGCTTGCGGCGTGGGGTGACAGAGGAGGCTCGTTGGAGGTGAGTGAAGCTCCTGCATTGGTCTGGATGGGCGGTGGGATGGGACCAATTACATCTTTGTTGAGCCCTCAGTCATTCCGGGGAATACTCTCCAAAAAATAGCCACAGCGAATGTTTATTAAACTCTGCTAGTGCATCAGGCCCCCCTGCTCAGCTATTTACAGACATGACTTCTTTTAGACCTCATTTCCCCATTTTATTAATGAAGAAACTGAGGTACAGAGAAGTTAAGCCATATGCCCAAGTTCTCACAGCCTGTAAGTGAAAGGATTCGAACCTAGAGAGCTGACTCCAGAGCCAGAGCTTTTAAGCAATGTCTGGTGTGCATGGTGGAGAGGAGTGGGCCTGAAAAGCAGTTGGACTCTTGTTTAGTTTCCCTGCTGAGCCCGAGTTTACCCACCCTCACTGTGCAAGGCTAGGTATGCAGTTGTTGATAATTATTGTCATTTCTCCCCTTTTGGCACTTCCACCAGCTTCCCCCATGGAGCCTATCCAGCCTGCAGAGGAACTCAGCTTGACCCAGCAGTCCCCCACCCCAGAATTTGGGGACCCTGAAGACCCAGGGGATGAGACCCTTGATGGCTCAGACACGGTGGTGCTCAGCCTCTTCCCCTGCACCCCGGAGCCCGGGAATCCTGAGCCAGATGCTGGCGCCTCCTCACCTCAGGGTAGGTACTTTCCCTGGGCTTCGCCTCTGGGGTACAAGGACAGTGGCATGCCAGGCCCAAGATGAGGCCTCTGCCTTTGTTTCCTACCACCTAAATGTGTCTCCTGCCCCACTCAGGGAGGGATTGCTTATTTGTTTTTATTGTGGCAAAATCCACATAACATGAAAGTTACCATTTTAACCAGAATCGTGTATAATCCAGTGGCAGTAAGAACATTCAGTGTTGTGTAA